AGCTATCATGGCAAGTTCCTGGCCCTCTCCACTCCACAGCTTTAGAATTCCAGCCTCAAATGATATCAACCTATACAAACCATCCCCATCAAAACAAAACAAAACAAAACAAAAACCCAAACTATCCCCTTAGCCTCTGCCCTGAGGCACCCTCCACTTCCTCCTGTAACTGAGACCTGGCTTAAACTGTAAGATGTTTTAGATCTCCACAATGACCGGGCAGGCTTATGAAACATTAACCACCTGTTTGGTTGGTTGCTCATGTATACACACATACACTCATTTCTTGGAATGTTTTGAGCCAATAAATATGTCTAAAGTTTTTGTGCAGGGAAAACATGATGCGAATCAAGGGGTTCTATGTCCAGTAAACATGTATGAAAATGGAACAAAACTCGGTGGGTCCACATGGACCCGAGAGGTAGAAAAGGCTGGAGGGTTCGTGAAATGACCACCTGGTTGTGGTTCCATGACTGCCTTAAACTTTGGTGTGCACTGAGAAGAGACATTTTTATTTTCATCTAAAAGCCAAGGGGCTGGTCAGGTAGGTTGAGCTGTTAGATTGATAAGATAATAGATGGGAGTTTGCCCTGGAAGCTTCCCTGAAGGAAATAACTGGAGGGTCCAGGCATTCCCGAGAGGATTGGGATGAGGGCGATATCATTCCATCTATCAGCTCTGCACCAGAGACATTAAAAGAAGCCACTTATTTCTTCGGCTAAGAATGGATGATGGGCAGATGGGAAAAGACGATCCCATTTTCTTTATTTTGAACATTGCGTCTCAGTCAATGAACTTCTGTCGTGAAGCCGGGCGGGGAGGGGTGCTGAATTTTCTTGGCTTTGTCCAGATTGAGATTGGGGAGAACACGAAAAAAATCAACACGCGTGTGGAAAGTTATTTTTTTCTTTCTAGCTAACTGGGACTATTGGGCACATTTGGAATGACTATTTCTATTCTGTTTTAAATTTATTGTACTTTTGAAGAAAACTATGAGCTCCCCCCCCTGCACCACCACTCCCCCACCCCCACTGCCCCTCCCCACCCCCGCTGTGTAATCTGAGAAATTTAGCATGCTTTATGATGTCTTCTTGCCACCTCCAAAACGCTCAGATATTATTGAAATGATTTGGAGTATTTTCTTCCATTAATTTTATTCCTAAGCACCGGTACTAATAGTTATAGCAACCTCTACAATCAGGTTTAAATGATCAAGATTTATCTGTACATCTTGCTGATTTCATGGTTCAGTAGTGTTTCTTCTAAAACCGGTTCACCCCTTTCTTAGAAAATTTATTCTGATTCTTTTTGTTGTTAGACAAAAGTTGTTTATTTATTTTGCCTCTCAGACATCCATATAGATGGATATCTTTTTACAAAATTCCAGAATATCTGAAAATGATTTTCTTTTGCTTTGATGTATACTTTGAGTCTAGAATGGTAAAAACCCCATTCCTCTTCTTCACGTAGTTTTCTGTAAGAGCTTCCCTTTTCTTCTGGTGCTCAGTGCTCCAGCAAACCAGCAAACAGGCCCCAGACCCTGCAGGACAGGCAAACTGCCCTCGTGCGTTTCTGAGACTGCAGCTCTTTCCAGTTCTTTCTCCCAAGGAGTGCATGATGGTCTTGAACTGCTGACCTTGCAGTTAACCCAATGGGAAACTCCTATGGCACAGGGCCCCTCAGAGTTTCAGGGGAGACATTTAATGCCCATTTTTGTAATTCCAGGCTTGTCTCCTGCGATGCAGCTGATTTTTATTTCTTTGAAAAGTACATGGTATCAATTGGAAGTTTAGAAGAGAATAGTGTTTCCAATGATTGGCCTGGAAATGCTCAGAGATTTAGTGTATATTTCATTTAAACGGCAGTCACTTGGGAACAACTCCTACAATGGCATTATCGTTTAATCAGGAGTTAATGGTATGAAAACAGATGATCAAAGGTGCCAGAAATTCTCAGTATTTCAAAGAAGCCCGAGATGGGTTATTATGCAAACCAAGGGATCTGCTATAATGTAAATAATCTCATAATCTGGCTGTCTTCTATGTGCATATATCTGTCAATTTTACTCGAGTCAGACACATCGGTTTTCTGTCCTCTGGACCATCTTATCTTATATATCTGCAGTTGGATTCCCCTGGAAGCGTAGTGTTTACGTGTTAGGCTGCACACTGCAAGGTCAGCAGTTCAAGACCACCAGTCTGTCTGAGGGAGCAAGACGGGCTTTCTCCTGTAAACAGGTACAGTCGCAGAAACTCACAGGGGCAGTTCTACCCTCATCTGTAGGGTCATTGAGTAGGCGTCCACTGATGGCGGTGAGCTTAGCGTTTGAGAGCAGTTGGATTCCTCGATGGGGTTAGCGGTTTCTCCTTTTCCCAATGAGCAGGCTCTCTTATGATTAAATAGTCATTTCTGAAATACTAATGATCGGGGCGAGAGCAGGGGCTGATAACGGATGCCGTGTCCCTCCCGCTGCAGAGATCAACTGTGGCCGCCCTCCGGCAGTGCCACACGCAGTCCTGGAGAGGAAGACGGGCTCAGGCCTGGGCAGCGTGGCTCACTACGCGTGTCAGGAGGGCTTCGAGAGCCCTGGCGGGGAGGTCACCTCCGTGTGCACAGAGAAGGGCATCTGGACAGAGAGTGCTTGGACCTGCACAGGTAAGGGCTCCATTCGGTTCCCCGGAGCAGGCGAGCCAATGGGACATCACACCCATTTGCTGCCGCACGTTGGGCACTGTGCCCGCCTGGGTCATTTACCTAGGTGGGCACCTGGCTTTATGTATGTTGGCTAAATCACAAAGATTTAGAGAGTGGATTGGGAAAGCAGATTGGATAGGAACTTTTCTATAGATCTCTTGAAACTCCCCTTGATCACAGTAATTCCTGTCTGGCCTCTGCTTGGCTGATGGGGGAATTTTTCCACATGAGCTGTTTTCTCAGAAGGGCAAGTCCAAAGTGTTGACTTAGGTCCTGGAGACAGCCTTTCGGAGAATAGGCGGTTTCATGAAAAGGAGTTTTGAAGTTTTAGTTCAAATTCTAGCGATGCCATTTGTTAGCGGTGCGTCTCTCTGAGCCAGTAAACTCACACTGCATGGAGTCGATTCCAACTCAGAAAGACCCCGCAGGGCGGAGAAGACCTGTCCGTGTGGCCTTCCAAGACCATACATCTCAATGGGAGCAGAACGCTTCATCTTTCTGCTGTGGAGAGGCTTGTGGATTCGAACTGTTGACTTTGCCATTAGCAGCTCCACACCTAACCTACTAGGCCACCCGGGCACCTCTCCCCATCTATACAAGGGAGAACAGAAAGCCTGTCTTTTCTACTTCAAAGGGCTGTGGGGGCAATCAAATGAGATCATCTATAGGGGGAGCATTTGAAAATGTTTTCAAATCATTTTATTGGGAGCTCTTACAGATATCATGGCATTCCATAATTCAATCACATCAAGCACTATTGTAAAATTGCTACTGTCATCAGTTTGAAAGCATTTTCTTTCTTCTTGAGTTCCTTGATATCAGCTCCCCTGGGTGGGTTGGGGGCATTTTGAAATGAGGAAACGCACAGTGCACACATCAGGCTTTTCATGGAAATTGTTAACTTTCCGGGGATTTCTCATGCATTCTCATGAATTTCTCATGGACCCGGCTTCATTTCACACTCAGGAGACAGGGTGGGGAGAGCTAGAATTCTTACTATGAGTTACAGTCCATTGAGGGGGAGGGTGACAAGTGGCTGTCACGTAGGCCCCGGTGGTTCTGGAAGTTTATTTTTAGATGTTGACGTGCTTGGCTCTGGGGTTTATCTCTGAAGAGAGATGCAGAGGCCTGAGCCCCTGCTTTGACTTGGCAGCAGAATCATAGGAGAACGGCTAGAACTTTGTTCTTCCCAACCAAAGTCATCTGTGGGAAACCTGGCCGGAGCAAGCACAGCGATGACTTCTGATGTTTATTTGTCCGTTGGCTGTGCCAAAGGGGTCACACACTTGGCGGCTACCAAAAGGTTAGAGGTTTAAGTCCACCTCCTCAGAAGAACGGCCTGGTGATCTCCATTTCCGAGTAAACAAATAAATTAAATAAAGCAATCATGGAAAACTCTGGTGCAGGTCTCCGGATCCACGTGGGGCTGCCGTGAGTCAGAGATGACGTCATGGCTGTTGGGTTGGGGGTTGATCTGTTAGGTCCTGCCGTCTTGAAGTTTATAAGGCAATAAGGAAACGGGCCCTTTTTCCACGGGAAATGAACACACATAGTATTACAAAGCTTTACAAACAAAATCAGATGTTTGTGGGACCTCTTAAGTCCTTGGGCAGAGCATCCTAGAGTAGATGGGGTGACAGGCCTGCTCCTGAGACCCTGCCAGGGCCCTGAAGTCCAGCTGTCTCTACCGCAGATGCAAGACGTTGTAGGTTAGTGAAGGTTGACCTGCATGAGAACCCAGGGATCTGGGTCAACCTTCTCTGAGAGGTTTTTCCCAGGACCTGCCCAGTTGGCACAGAGAACCAAAGACAAGCTTATCATGAATAGTTGAGGGAACTGCAAACAGCTAATAAATACCACATTGGGCCAGACTGTTGGTCCCAAATGTCAAACTCACTGCCATCCAGTCATTGACTCATCGTGACCCCTTGTGGGTTTCGGAGACAGGCACTGTTTACCAGAGAGCAAGCCCATTCTCTCTCCCAAAGAGCTGCTGGTGGTTTCCAACCTCTGACCATGTGGGGCGCAGCCTGGCTGTAACCACCGCACCACCAGGGCTCCTAGACGGCTCGACGGTCAGTTACTCCCTAGTAGTGCATCTTTAATAGCATCCCCAGTAATGGGTTGTATTGAGATGAGTCTGGCCCAATATGGTATTAGCTGTTCTGTTTCCTCAACTATTAACCTCCGGAAGGAGCCCAGGGTGGGTAGTGGGTTACTCGTTGGACTGCAAACTGCAAGGTCAGTGATTCAAATCCATCATCTGCTCTGAGGGAGAAAGATGAGGCTTTCTGGTCCTGTAAAGCTTTAGAGCCTCGGAAACCCACAGGGGCAATTCGATAAGGTCGCTTCTGGTTTGGAATCCACTGGAAGTCAGTGAGAAGTGGATTCCACTTTCACTTTTAGGGAAAGTGCGGCAGCTGCTGGGATGCCACCCTCAAAGTTTAGGGGCGTCTTCCTGGCACAGAGCTCCTCGCGATGGCGGGGCATCGCTTCTGGGTGTGGGTTTCGTAGCTGAAGCTGCTCAGAATTCATGGGGCACAGGGATTAGTCAGGACATGAAAAACCAGTGGATCTGCATGGGGCATAGTAAGCTATTCATTAGCGGAGGCTTGTTGAGTACTTTGAAGAACAAACAGGTTATGTAACTGCTGCCGTGCACAGTCTGCGGCTCCAGAGGCAGCTGCCTCCCTGGGTTTGGTGCAAGATCTTTGACTGAAGGGGAGAAAAGCCATTCTCTTCCAGAGCAGGGATCTTCCTGTGAGGAGGCCTGTGTGCCCTCCATCAAGACTGGCAGCTAAATTCAATTTCCGCAGATCAAGGGGTGATTTACATGCTGATTAATTTGTGGGGCAGTGCAGATGATCTCTGGGGGTGAGGGCAGTCCAGGGAGGCTTCGGGAAATGCAGTGAGAGATGCAGCTTGATGGCTCTGGCTCTGGCTCTGGCTTTTTTTTTTTTTTTTTTTTTAATCCCTTTTCCTGTTTCCACCCATTTGTTCCTTTTCCTCCTCTTTTTCTTCCTGTTCTTTGAATACCTTCTGCTTCTGTTCTATGTTTTTACTCCTGCACCACTTCCTATACCTGATTGTTTAGTGCCAAGCTCCACTCTCCTGGGGCTGTGCGGAGCGAACAATGATTTGGGAGCGCCTGCGTCACTTGATTAACACATATCTCAATCTGTTTTTAATGGAGGATGAGCTCAGGCAAGGTGGTGGAGTCTGCCTCCCCACCCCCAACCCGCCCCGCCTGCCTTTTTACTTAAGGCCAGTTTGGACTGGAAATTCCAGACAGCTGGGAATTAGGCAACTGCTTTTGTGTCTGGAAAAACCCCAGGTGGAAGCTTGGTGTTGTTTAGTGAGTCCTTCGGCTCAAGATCAAAGAGGCTGATTCATTCTTGATAAGACTGTCCCTGGCTCTCATTCGGCACAGGCCATTGGGCTTTTTATGTGTAGAGTCTGAGTTAATAATTAGAAGGTTGACTTGCACCAAGCTCTTAGGAGGGTGACACCTCTGCCAGGGACCCTTCTGTGCCCCCAGCCTGACGCAGGCACGTCTCCAAAGGCCTCCAGGACTCCTGTGAGCCTCTGCCAGGTCTGTTTTGATGTTGACCTTCTGCGGCTCAGGGCTGGTCATTTGTAGCCGCGAGCATTTAGAAAGAGAAGATCAAGGGCGTAAATAGATAGCTGAAGCGCCCTGGTGGCAGGCCTGCAAGGTCAGCAGTTAGAATCCAGCAGCGATTGCACAGTAGACGGACGAGGCGATCGACTTGTGGAAAGAGATGGAACAGTCTTGGAAACCCACAGGGGCCTTCTGCCTGTCCTATAGGTCACTAAGAGTTGGAATAGACTTGATGAGAGTAGTTTTTTGTTGTTTTTTAATGTAGATAGCCACACTGGGCCATACTTATGTCTCTGCATGCGTGTCTAACTTTTGGACCATCAAGCTATATAGCTGCTCCTTACTGAGTCCCCATTTGTGTGTCCAGGACCCTGAGCAGTAAGTTTTGATGTTTCCATGCCATAGATGAGTAATCTGAGCCACATGAAGATGAAGGTCGTTCAGGAATTAGCAAATGGCAGAGCAAGGATTTGAACTCAAGTCTGTAAGTCCTGAAAACATATACCTTCTATCATACCAATGTTTTTCAAGTTTGAGCTATTTATTTGCAAGGGACTTCTGCTGTCTCTGAGTTTCACCCACACTATCGCGTATTGAGGAGCCCTGGTGGCACTGTGGGTGAGGCACTGGGCTGCAGAGAAAGAGGAGGAGGAGGAGGCTGTTCTCCTCAGGAAACCTCTGGAGACACGATCCGATCGCTATGAGTCGGCATTGACTCAGTGGCGGTGAGTTTGTTTGAATTGTTTATTTAATGCCTTCTTTAAGACAGCTTGTATTTTAACTTACGTATATAGTGAGACTTTTTCATCTAAGAAAATTTCTATTATATGGCATATCGAGAATTTGATGAACTAGGAGTAATTTTTTTTCATATATTAAACAAACAGACAAGTCCCTGCCATCGAGTTGATGTTGACTCCTAGTGCCCCTGCAGGACAGAGTAGAACTGACCCTGGGAGTTTCCGCGCCTGCAGCTGTTTACGAGAGTAGGAAGCCCGTCTTTCTCCCCAAGACTGGCTTTCCCACAACCTTGTGGTCTGCAGCCTGACTCAGCCATGACGCCACCAGGAAGCATATGAAATTTATTCACGTACCACTCAAAGAATGCGAAACTGTGCGGTTCGTTTTAGGAAAGCACTACTTTAAAGGCCGTGCTGTGGCTACCTATTTTATGTGACTCTTTAAGACTTAAAAAACAGACATATCAGAACTCTAATAGCCACGCACACATCCATTCCAAGTGCTTATGGTGGAAAAACATACCCTGCTTTCAGCGGTGCGGCCATTCCTGAATCACTTTTCCTTTGGGGCCTCTGTGAGGGAGTTGGAAGTGCTGGTGGCCAGGTGATTACGAGCTGGATGTCGAACCACCAGGTCAGCAGGTTGAAACCACCAGCCGCTTCTCGGGAGACAGACTAGACTTTCCACTCCCATAAAGAAGCACAGTCTTGGACACTCACAGGGACAGTTTGAGTGAGTCAGGGAATTGCTTTTGGAGGTTGGCCGTCAAACTCCCTGTGTGCTTTAGAGGTAGTTTATGAGTAGCATTAGAAGATCAGTTGTATTTTTTTTTTAATCCCTAGGCTGTTTTTTTACCAGAAATTGCTTGAGTTTGACCCTCTAGGTCACCTGAACGAATTCTGTATGACTTCCTTTGTAAATTCATACAGCAGTTGGGTTATTAATTTACGAATCGGAATGTGAAGGTGTGAGTTGAAGAAGGTCACAGAGCACACCATCAGTGTCATGCTCAGCAGGTCGTACACAAGTTGTTTCATCTCATTCAGTCCAATCCCTTCAATGTTACCACTCATCCCGCTTCCCGTGTTTTCTCCTTCTGGCCCTCCTGTCCCAACCCTTCTGAGCCTTGACTTGGGCAAAGGCTGCTGACTTTTTGATCTTAAAAACTTGATTATCCTTGGGTGTACCTCACTAGTGTTATTGTTCCCCTTATAAGCCTGCCCACTGTTTGGCTGAAAGCTGAGCTGAGGGTAGGGGGGTTTAGTTTCAGACATGAAAGTTGGCTTGGGGCTAGGCTTGAGGGTGCTACCGGTCTCTGTCCTACCAGGAAGCCTCTTCTCTTTTATGATTTTCAGATTTGTTTTTCATTTTCCCTTCCACTCTACACAGGGTCTTTCATATGATCCCTTTCAGAGCTATTGGTAGTGGTAGTTGGGCACCATCCAGTTCTTTTGATCTCAGGATTGTAGAGACTGATGGCTGACCCCTAGTACATTGGACTAATGGTTTCCAAGGGTCTTTCATTTTTTGGCCTTAATGCTTCCTTCTCGATGGTGAGAGACCCATAGTTGCATCTTTGATGGCCACTCATGAGTTCTTAAGACCCCATTCAATACCCAACACAGCAGGATGTAGAACACTGTAGTTATGAATTGTTATTGGTGTCCCCTGAGACTGTGGTTTTGATGCTTATGAACGTGCTTGGTTTTGCCTAAGAAGTTTTTCATCAGGTTGTCCCTTATATACTCGACCACATTCATAGATATATTTGCAGCAAAGGCGAATATATATCTATAACTATCCTCTGTATGCCCAGGCAATCATCCCCTTGCAGACTACCACTATAGCAAATTTGTATATAACATTTGGCTCTGTTACCTTCAATTCTTACGTTTCTGCCAACGACTTCTGCCTCCATCATTTTTTGCCAGCCTCCTATTATCTCATGTTGCCTTCCCTTTCACCCCACTTAACACTTGTCTACCTTCTACCCAGGGACTTCTGTATGGCCTTTTGCTGTTTTCAAAAAATAAAGACGGACACCCTGTTCTTACAAAATGGGACTTCCGAAAGAGGAAGGAGTGCTCACAGGCCCCC